GTGATAATTAAAGCTTGATTCGTCCCGTCTTTGCAGCTAAACAGAGATTTGTAAAGTCGGTATTGGCCAAGGACTGAACACCTCTCAGATTGAAACATGGGATTTATTGTATTAAGTATTTCTTACCCCTCTAACATTAACAGACTCCAGATTAAAATCACGTGTTCCTCGGCTACCTAAATAGGAAAACATGTTCGTTTTACAGGATTTTCACATAACCTAATAAGATGTTTCTTTATCTTGTTGTTTGGTTTGCTTTAACTTGATTGTGTTTACATATAACAACCGTCATGTCAATAAATGAAGGTAGAGTGAGAGCCTGCAGGAGATCTGTTTGTGTTGTGTATTCAGGTGGATTTCTGGTCAAGATATTTATGTTGAGCAAAGCAAGTTATTTCTGAGATGTTATTGATCGGGTTCTTCTCATGCTGTCATGTAAATTCAACAGAAATCCCATCTTTTAGCTTTTTAGAACAAAAACAGTCCAAAGAATAATTATGCTTTGGAATCAAAACAAACCTGACTAATCAGCATTGTATTTATATTCTGGGCTTTTACAGAGACGTTTAGACTAAAAGGGAGAGCTTTGATACAGAAAAAAGCTGACGGCGATATGATCACTGGGCCCAGTTTGAGGTTAGAATTAAAGGCGCGCTGAACCTCTCGGGTCCTGTTTGGGCATAACCAGTGCCCAGAGAGCACTTGACTTGGCTGAGGTGAGATTGCCGCCAGGCAGAAGTCTTCAGGGCCTGCTTGTCCTTCTGATAGCTGGCTATGATAGATCAGCCAATGTCCAGCCAGAATTACTCTCCTTCCCCCCTTTCTATCTCACACTTTCTTTTTCCCTCTAAAGCTTTGGTCCTCTTTGGTCCTCTTTCTTGCTTATCTCCCTCGTCTCTGCTTTATATCTTCTTTTCTCTTCTATCCCCCATTTCTTTCTCTCTTTCGCCTGCCATTTTTTCCTCAACTCTCCCCCCTCTTTGTCTGCTGTGTTGTCTGATTGAGGGTGAGTTACGAGGGGGCTGCAGCTGGAGGGGACTGCCGTGCCTCGTAATTACATCTCTTTTTATTACTTGCGCTAATGGCCCTCGGGGAGAAAGAAACAATAATAAATTAATAGAATATGAACTCCAGCTCAACAGAAATCTCCAGCATTTCATTTTGGACCATCCTGTTCTCCGGCAGATGAAACAGTGCACTGATTAATCTCTGTTAGGGGTTTGAAACAGCCTTCTGTGGGTTTTGGCTGCCCCCTCCTGCTCACAGCTGAAGGCTTTTGGAAAGATAAAGAGAGATTATAGATTTCAGTCTTGTTTTTGGTAGAGAGTTTTATTTTAGTGACCTTAATTTATTATAACCTTTTTCTTTTTGTATTAGTTTTATTTTCTGAAGTTGAGTTAAGTCTGGATGCTATGTTTAATGGAAACATTTTATAACACATAAACCTGAACAATGCATTCTCTTGGTAAAGCATGGGGATAGCAGCATCATGCTGTGGGTTTCTTTTTTTGTTTTTGTTTTTTAGAAGAGAGAGAAATACCTGCTCAGAATTAGCTAGATGATAGATTAAGGTTTATTGAAAACATGATAAAGATAAAAAATGTATTTAGTGTTTCGTATTTTTGTTTCCATTAACTGTTTTGCTAAATTAAGACTGGTGTCCCAAAATGACTCAGATCTGAATTAATGAGGAGTCATTTAATTTGGTTGTTCAGAAAAACCCTAACCGCTTGATTCTTATTTGATCAGTTTGCTAGAAAGCAAGTGAACAAAGAAATAAATGTAGTAATTATCGCTTTGAAGAATCCCAGACAGAAACCTGCTGATGCGTTCAGCTGTGGAGCGGAAAAGGTTCTTCAAGTGAACAGACAGGCTCCTCTGATTTGGTCAATATTGTGTCATGTTTGGTCAAACCCTGCCAAGGCAGTGGGCTGGAAATGAAGATGTAAATATTGATATTTCATTAGGGGAAATCACCCACTCCGACGGCACTTAACAGGGCCACCTTCAGAGTGCAGCGGCCGGAGCGCCGTGTGACCTGTGGAGTCGGGAAGTCACTTCATTACTCGATTAAATTGAGTGGAAAAAGGCGAGGCAACGACACAAGATCCCATTTGGAGCGATAATTTAGGCTTTGAGGAGAGGGGATGGAGCGGGGAAAAACACTACCTCTCCATCTCACAACACTGGATTAAATTCAAGGACTTTTAGCGTCAAAGGTAATTGCAGGCTGCTGGGATGCAAGTTTGCATATGGCTGAGAGGTGTCGGTTGTATCAGAACAACTCGAAAGCCACTCCAGCGAGCTCTGAACAGGGCCGTCACGCGAGCTGTCATGGCGAGAGCAGCGCTTTAGTTCCGCTTCAGTCCTCCTTGGCATTAAAAGGCTACACAAAGCTTCGCCTGTGATTGTGATGCCAACCTGATGCGGCAATCAGCACCACGTCTGTGCTCGCATGACAATTTCTCTCCGGCCAGTCCACAGTCTGCCGACATAATGGCTACGTATGCAGACAAGGAAATAACACAACAAAGCATTTTAAGATGCCGCTTGGAGAAGTGTAATGGAAGAGGCCGCTGGAAAATTTGGCTTATTGCCTTCACTGATAATAGTCAAGTGTTTTGAGTGCTTTCGGCACTCTGCCTTGTTGGCTCTAATTTGGGATTGGACCATTCTAGCACCTTTCAGTTTGAGCTCTTTTCTACCCAGTATTGATTACCCTTCAAAATGTGAAAGCCTTCACATTCTGATCACAATCTGTTAATTAATGTATCCTGCAGCTCTTCCCTTGACGTGGTCATCACCACGATAAGGGAAATTGAACACTCAGGAACTACTCTTCCTGTCTTTTTTTTCTTGTCTCTTCCTCTGCCCCGTTTCTTTTTTCACTTGTCTTCATGCTTCTTTGTTTTTGTCTTCTCAAGCTGCATGTGTTGAGAGTGACTAGGGTCTCCTGGCAGGGGGAGATAAACATCGAGTTTGTGGCTACACCATAGTTAAGACCATTTATATTCAAGTGGAGACGTTTGCTGAACATATCCTGGTCAATACAGTAATCTATTGTCTGTTAATCACACATAGGCAGGTACTGTGGAACCAGCAAACTTGTAAAAGCAATCAGGAGCGTTACTCGGCAACATAATATGCTGTCAGAATGAGCTGCTTGCAGGAATGTCAAGCTGGGGGAAGGAAAGTGTTATGTGAGGAGTGTTTTGGGGCCTGTACTATTTGTTGACAGTCAAATAATAAATGGAAAGAGACATATAACAATTTGAAAATGTTAATAATTGTTAAACCTGTGCACAGGCAGTTATTTTTCCTACCTCAAATTTAAGTATGGCTGTAATATACCTAAAAAAGTACCATGTAATTGTTGTGTGAAAAGCAGTTGCATTCATTAGCATTAGTTAGAGAAGCTGCAAGGAGACCCCAAGAAAACTCTGGAGGAGCTGCAGCGATAAACTGCTCAAATTGAAGCGCTTAATTCAGCCTACATACAAATGGATGTATATGGAGAAAAACAACACTTAACTGGGATATAAACCATTCCCATGTAAAAATGGCACTTGTTAGTGGTAGTGTCAGAGAACCTGATAAGGGTTTGTAAGAAAATGGACCTAAATAGAGAGCAGTCCTGGAAGAAAACCTCTTACAGACTGGAAAATGAATAGAAGAAAAGTATAAGTAAAGCTTCATTGAGAGTATTCAGATTGAAAACATTTTCATGTTTTAAAAGGACCAGTCAATAGACTGTAACAGCAATCCTTCATTTATGTTCAAAGATTCTCTCTATCTGGGGGAAACAGTGTCAGATTTAGGAGTTTGCCCTGGGTGTTGTTGGTTCAAGCCCTGGCTCCGCTTTCATTGTCGTTGTGTCCTTGGGCAAGACACTTCACCCAAATTGCCTACCAATGGTCAGAGGGCCTCATGTGTATGGCAGCCTCCTTTCTGTCCATGAGCCCTAGGGCAGCTGTGCCTACAATGGAGTTTGCCACTATCAGTGTGTGAGTGAACCAGTTTCAGTATTTAGATTCTGCTATAAACATGTTTTAAAGACTTGCCGCCTATTATTATAGTTAAAGGTAGTTCTCCAATGCATTGATTCAAGACAGTTAGAATGTTTTCATTAATTAAAGTGTTTTAAAACTGTGTCATTTTAATTCCACTTTCACATAATGCATGGCCTAAACCCCTTTGAAACACATTGACGTGTGTGGCACACATAGTTTTGCCGTAGTTAGGCCCCTTACTTTTTTCCTCTCATAGTTGTCTTGACTTTCTTTTGTATGTTTTTCTCAGAGCTCATCTGAGGAGGATATGGGAGCTAGTTTTATTTGATCTTCTATTCTCAGCATATGTAGAGGTGTCAGAGAGGAAATGACCGCAGTTTGATGTTCCCAAGTCAATTTCAGCCCATCCAGCTGCTGCAGAACGACACCCTAAGTTGGTCTTAATGCTTGGTTTAAACCCCCTGATCCCAGCGCTACACGTGTTTTTTTTTATGTGTTTGGATTTATGTTCATACATATAGATGTCATGATCTCAACGTTCACGTCTCTGTTGACACGTTTCTTGTGTTTGCGCTCATGTGTGTTTGTCTCCTCGTCACCTCCTCCTGTTACAGTGTTCATGTCATGTCCTTAACCCTTCCGATATGAATGTGCATCTATGCTAATCCCCCTAACACCAATAGCAGCAAGGCAGGATACAAAGGGTAACCACATGGCTTTGTTGTTCTCAGACCTTTGCACTGATTTACTGTCCTCACTTATAGGAAAGCCCTCTCAAGTGCTCTGAAACAAGCTTCAAAGAGGACCTTGCTTTTAAAGTTAAGCACATGTATGAGCTGGTTTAGCAGAACTGATCAGCCTGTTTCTGCCTTTTACTTTACTTAACTTTCCAGCCTCAATTGCCTTTTATCAATAAAGCGATTTATTTTTGGTGCCATCTGTTTATATGCTGCCACATTGCCCTCACACAGCTCCTGTTTTCTCATCCAGGTTTCTCCACCCTCTCTCTGGGAGACCAGATGAGTCTATTGCAGAGCGCCTGGATGGAAATCCTAATCCTCAGCATCGTGTTCCGCTCATTGCCCTACGAGGACGAGCTCGTCTACGCCGAGGACTATATCATGGATGAGGAGCACTCGCGGCTGACGGGCCTGCTTGACCTCTATGTCTCCATCCTGCAGCTGGTGCGCAAGTACAAGAAACTCAAGGTTGAGAAGGAGGAGTTTGTCACCCTGAAAGCCATCGCTCTCGCCAACTCAGGTGAGAAGAGTTGAGCTCACATTCCTGTTAAAAACTGTGGTTAATTAAATGAATAATCTTAAATTTAATATAAATATTTATTCATTAACTTAATGGCAACTTATTTTATTAATTGTATAATACATTTTTTTAAGTACATAAATATACAATTATACGAAAAAGAATGTAAAAGTTTTTTCTAAAGACAATTTCATTGATAAAAGGTCAAAAGCTTTCTCAGTTTGAAGAGTAGCTAAAATAAACAGTCCTTTTTAACCATATTCATACCCCATATAAGCAGTTTATCATATATCACTGATTTATAGCTCCTAAATAGAAGTAGAATAACCAGATTGCTTCATTTTCACAAATTTTATTATAATTACTGGGAGTTCCTCTAATTGTTGAACCAGTCGCACTGTTTGAAAATATTTCTAACATGGTGCATCTTGTGAAATTGTATTAACTTACCTATTTAAATGTTGAGTTATTCAAAAGTGAGTGCAGTGAGTGCTCATATTATAGAAATAAAAAATATTGATCGAAATACTTATTCACTAATGCAGCGCTATATAGTAAACACGTTTTTAAATACTCCCAATTATTGTAAAAATCCTTTGTATTGTATAATTAAAGTAAAAAAAATGACCTACACACTGTTATTATTTTGTTTGTTTTTTAGTCTTCAAGGCACTATATAGAATATTGAAATAAAATAGAATAAAAATAAAGTATTAAAAAGTAGAACCCTCACAAATATTATGGTTTTTAATTATGCGTATACACAAATTCTAATTACCAAATACTAATCCACATGTAGACAAAAACAAACAATAATTATTAGTAAATAAAATTAAATTATCTTTTATGCTTTTAATAGTTAGTTAAAATTGTAAAAAAAAATTGTTCTCTTTCTTACATTCTGTTTTAATTTGAGAAAATAACACTGTTATTTTCTTAGAGTTTCAAGGGTAATTATTAGTTTGGACTATCAGATAAATTGATGGAGAAAAGACAAGGCGCAAAAAGAAAATTCAGGAAGGATTTCATTTTTTTCGTTTAGTAATTGAACAGCTTCCGATCTGTGATATTGCTTGTGTGCTCCCTCCCTTTCTCCATCCTCATAAAGTAGCTGCAGGGCACAGCAGCTATGTGAGGTAAATTTAGCATTTCATTAGGAGCACGGGGGCTGTCAATAAAATGTGTTAAGTCGAATGGAATGAATATCAGGGGGAGGTGGGCCTCGTTTGTTCCAATGCAAAGGCTGCACACCGCTATTGACAAGGCGCCTTTTGAGGAGGCAGGACCTGTCCGACTCTGATCAATGCGTGCCTGGGTCACCAGGCCCCTTTCCCTTGTTTTGTCCTGGGCTGAAAATGAAAATGCTGATGCAAGGACTTTGCTTTCAGACAGCAGAGCTTTTGGGAGACAGGTAGGGTGGGGAGAACTGGGGGATGGGAAGAGAAGAGGAGGGGGAACAAGGTCTCTGGAAGATCGCTCTCCTGGGAACCCCTCTGTCTGACAGCTGTGAAAATTCATAGCGATTGATTTTGTAATTAGCAGTTTATCAATTCGATCGACGTGGGCTCACTGATGGATTGCAGGGAAATTGTTTCTTCAAAGTTGTTTTTTATTCCTCCCCCTCCTCCACCGAGCGGAGCAGTGTGCGAGCTGCCCTCTTTTCTTTTCCCATCTGTTGAGATGTCTCCATCGCTCTTTTTATTTTCTCCCTGCTGTAAAACATTTCATTAAAGCTGCTTTATCACAGAAATGGGTGTTGGTGCGAAAACTAGAAGAAAACACTGGATTGATTTGTTAAGGCAAACGATCTGAGTGTGAACATGATTTCAGTGAAACGCAAGAGATAATTATAATCATGTCCTGTCACATTCTCATCTGTGCTCTTTTTTTTCTCCCTTTTTTGGCTTTTGTTCTCACCCCATACAACCCCTCCCACATTCACTTTACAAAAACGACCTACTTCATTTTACCACTGTGGATTTGAAAACCGTCGGGGTGAGAAATGTCTCAAGGTCTTGGGAATACAGTTGTTCCAGTCAATGAATCTGGGGCGAAGCCTGAAATCTGTTTTGCCTTTTATTGTCCCGTGTGGTAAAATATGCGCTGCCAAGGTGAGACGAGTCAGGCGGCCAATGACACATTGTCTCCCAGTTGCAAGGTGCCAGTTAACCAGTGAGGGAAAGTGCCACCTCGGAGCCTCCCAGGAAGCGAATAGATAGAAGACAAAAGCTGTGGGCCAAAAAATAAAGGCCGGAAATGGAAGGGGAGGGACGTATCTAAAAGGGCAGTCAAGCTGATATAAACATTAGTTCTAAACAGCACTATTTTAATAAGAGTTTTAAGTTTTTCACTGGATTGCTTTTTAGTCTGATTTTTTCAGAACATCTAAATTTCTTTGATAAACAGTTAATAAAAATGTAATAGACTGTTTTATTAAGCCGACTGACTAAATAAAAAGACAAAAAAATGTTTTAAATATAACGCTTCTTTTACTTTGTTCTGTTTTTTTATAGAAAGATACTGCTCAAAAGAGCAAAATTATTAGTTTTTTATTATTTTATATAAATTCACCCAGTACTGGTTATTTGGCTCAGCGACAGTTCAGAGCGTTGAACTATTAAATATCATAGTCCTCCTTCAAGCTGTATTTATAGTTCTCAAAGGTTTTTAGGATTTGAAATTCTTAAAATCTTCTTTCTTTCCTCTTGTCCTAGCAGACTCCATGCACATAGAGGACATGGAGGCCGTCCAAAAGCTGCAAGACGCTCTCCACGAGGCCCTTCAGGACTACGAGAGCAGCCAGCACCAGGAGGACCCACGACGGGCTGGCAAACTGCTCATGACGCTCCCCCTACTGAGGCAGACTGCAACTAAGGCTGTGCAGCACTTTTATAGCATTAAGGTGCAAGGCAAGGTGCCAATGCACAAACTCTTCCTAGAGATGCTGGAGGCCAAGGTCTGATTGCAGGCAGAGGCCTGCAATAAAAAGAGTGACTTGAATCATGGCTGAGGGTTCTCAAGAGGCAGAACCAGCAATGTCATTTGCAAAGCAGAGACTTCGATCTACCTTCTTTGTGGATCCTTTGGACTTATAATAATGATTAAAAAACAAGTGGAAAACTTGGTTATTAGTATAAATATAAAATGATGCAGATTAATTTAAAATATATAATAAATACTATGTACAGTAATAATTTTCTTTTGTAATTATCAGTGGTCACGCTGTATATGAAGGACCTTTTTGCCCCTTTGCATCTTCAGAACAAGCTCCAAAAAATGTTGTTCTTAAGAAAGCAAAGGCGTCAATAACCATAAGAAAACTTGTGTGTTGTTGTTTTTTTTTTTTTTTGTCTGGACTTAACCAGGACATGTAAATAATTACTACTTGGAAAGCTGAGTGTTCGGTCCAAAGCTGAACAACCTTGGTAACCATTTTCCCTTGTTCTCCTCCTCCCAAAAAAAAAAAGGTTGTAAAAGAGAAGAGAAATAAGGGAAATAGTTACCTAAATGTGAACTCTTATTGGTGAAATGTCCTTGGATAACATACCTCTACTGAGCAGTAAGCAGTCTGATCTAAGTGGATCATTTTCAAACTGGAAGAGTTGCCGAACCATGTTTAACCAACCTAGCATAGGCAGGTAAAATAGTCTTATGTAGTAGTTTGGCAATAGGGAAGCTTTGGAGAAGCCAGGCTTAATTTCCTGTTTCATGTGCTTTTCTTTGCTGCTGTTGCCTAAAGACCATGCCTGTCCGTACGTCATTTTCACCTGTGCAAGACAACACTTGTTCCCCTGTTGCACACCCATATTTTTCCTCTTCTGAAGACGTCTGTGTTGGTGCTTCTCAAGCACAAAACCCCCAGACCAGGCTGTCGGTTAAGCCTTTGGAAATTGCTTTTTGACATGCAAATAGATGGCCTGATTCAGTGTAGGTGAAAGATAATCAGCGGTTTTGGTGCGGAAGTTTCAAAGGATTTATGCTGGGTGGCAGAAGTCTATGAGATTCCTTGTTCAAACAATCAGAGACCTATATGTCAACCAGTCTATTTTGGGCTCTATAAGCCAGAGGGAGCAAGGTGTCCGGCATCTGCTCTCACCATTTTAGACATCTCCCATCTTTTAATAGCTGTGCCTGCATTTATAGGGCTTCAGCCGAACAGAGGTAAATGGCAGGTGCAAATGAGGAGCTGTGGTGTTTCAAAGTTTGTTTATTTTTACCCAGTGAGGGGCTGTTGTCCATGCAGCCTTTACACCAGGGGTAGAACGAACACGTGGTCTACTTCTTGACCTTATGTTGACACAACAGCTGGTGCAGAATAACACCTCCCCACCAATAACCGTGAGAATCTTCAGCGCCCAATCATGCACATGTGAACAACTATGCAAGAACCAAAGTGTGCACAACTCAAAGGGCAACAGTTTATTTGTACAACGTGTGATCTCTGGTGGGAGGATGATTCACCTGCTTTTTTTCTTGTTTCGGTCCATTACGCTAAGTGAGGGTAATGCTTCAGTGCCGTCTGCCACCCTCCTCATGCAGGAGTATTTGCTGAAAGGTAATGCTTAAACAGCTTTAGTGATATATTGTGGCTATGTCACAACAATATGATACTGTGATCAAAGGAATCCCTGACATTGCATAGGTTAGAGTTGCGGCTATGCTTGTGATATAAAAGGCTAGCAGCAATCGAGCGGCCAGCAGCTGCCTGAATGGCCAACAATGGAGAATTACTCCTGAGATCTTCCTGCACCTCCCTACTAGAACTAGCCAGATTAAAAACACTACTGTAGAAGGTGAAATTTAAGTTGTTCTACTGTTGTGCAATACAGCAGGGACCAATTCTGACTGAAATGGCATGTTTAGAGAGAGCATTTGAAAATCTTGTAATATGGTTTCATTTTTACTTATATCGACTAAAATTGCAGTACAAACAAAGACATTAGGTTTCTTTTCATTTTTTTGCCAATACAAATCTAAGTAAAGTCAAGTGCAAAATGGCACTGACAGCATGAGATTTTTGGCTAGAGTAAAAGTACCAGTTCCAAGTTACAGTAGTAAGATCAGTAAGTACAGTAAGTATTAAAACACCTTAATAAGAGCCTCTTTATCTTCCACAACATGAATATATCTGTTTTTAATGACCAGACATGTTTTTAAACAACACATTTGGTGTTTTCTGTAAATATGAGAAAAACATAGTCATTCTCTTTCAGCCTGCTTACTGACAGTGTGCAGCCACGTGAGGGGAAGGGCACAAGATAACTCCAGCATTTTATCATCCATACCATTATAGGGACATTTACCAGCAGAAATAGAAAATTCTAGCTGTATTAGAAGTATGCTAAAAGGCTTTGCCTATAGCAATACACTGTGGCTTTATAATAATTCCATGATCAATGGTAACCATGACTTAGGCGGTTAGAGATGGGTTAGAGATGCATAGGTTTGAAGCTTCTAGGATTCATCCAACCCACTTCTACTTGAAATAGCCATTGTCCAGATAACTAACTCCTCTTTTGAAAGAAAAGATTATAGGTGAAGTTACTTTTATGTTGTTTAACCCTGCAGGGACCAATTTACACTGAAATCGCTCTAAAGGGTTGCCTTCAGAGTGAGCTAAATTTTGTAGAATCTTAATGTTAGTTGCATTAAATCTTTTTACATCAAAACAACTTAACCAGGCTTGTGCCGATTTGAGGATACAAAATGAAAAAAGAAATTGCAATGAATAGTGTTTATTTTTTTCCCCAGTGAAATTACACCACATTAAGTAAAAGACAGGACTTGATTATGTGGATGGGCTGGTATCAGAATTGTTGGTAAAGCTTAAAAAGATGTACAACAGGATAATTTTCATAATTTGCTTTGATTGCTGGCTGGTCCGTATTTTTCAGAAATACTACTAAACAGTAGTATGGTAGCCTACTTGAACCAGCTACTGTGGTGTGCAGCAAGAAGTGGGGGCGGGGCACCAATGCATTACTCTGTTCTATATAGCCAGAGGAAAACAACCCATCCCTACATACCTTACAAGTTGTGTCTGTATGTGTATTGTAAATATATCAGCATCATTAACAGTAGATTGCCCAAACACCATTGGAGAACAAAGTATGCAGCGCTCTGCTGGCTACTACCTCATCACCATATTACCAATTTTTCTCTGACTTCATCTGTGACATACCTGAGCCATCATAATTTTTATCAACCATAACCTCAAAAAAATAATAATAAAATCAGTCTTCTCAGTGGTTCTGCCAAAACATTTGTAATTGTTGTCATGTTTCTTCTCATCTCACTCATTCCTCAGAGGCATTTGTAAAGGTAAAGCATGCTTAATTTCAACCATACAACTTTACCGTTATGGTGAGGCAAAGTGGGTATGTGTTTATATGAGCATCGTTGTGTCAGAATTGGTCCCTTAATGAGACAAACTGCAAACACGGGGCAGGTAACTGATTTCCTGCGCCTGTGTTGAGTATTTATTGTGTGAATTATATCATTTGGCAATGGTGTACATTGATATCTCTGATTGTTGAATCACCAATATCTGTGTTACTTCTGTTTTGATTTTCAAAAAGATAAAAGATCAATGAATTAAATACTCACTGAGCTCCATGTTTTCTATGCTTTTACTCAAACGTTAACATTGGCATAATAATTATTCACAGGTCTAGCATTGGGAATCAGGAAATACTTTTTAAGCCTTGCTGATTAGTCATCATTATTTTACTTTATATGCAACAACAGAGTTTTAAATCTCCAAAGAATTGAACAGAGCAACTTTGTTTAGCTCTTTTCAAACTTCCTGCTGAAAGGCTCTTTCGTTTTTTCACAGCCCAACTAAATTGCAGACACAGTATTGCTAAATACTGTGTTGCCAATTTGTGTTATTACCTTACCATACTAGGAAACAATTTAATTATTGTAAAGAGGACCAACATTATAAGAGAGAGGTGGATAATAAAGGGAATAAAACATAAAGACAATGTTTAGAAATTCAAATGATTTTTGTTGAGTCTTAACTGCATCATTCGGTTAGGATCCTGCAACAACAACCTAACCGGCAGAGGCTTCAGGCATGCTCCTTTGCAACCTGGATGGAGAGAAATTGGACATCTTCTGCTCTGCTTGCAGCTACAAAGAACTACTGTGTTGGGTTGTGTTATTTATAAAACTAACAAAATCTATTTTTTGGCTCCTCAAATCCAACAATGGGAAATATGGGACAGTCTTGATTATTTTCTTGTACCTGTTTTATAAAGATGCAAACCTCCTCAACTCCTCACTGAATCACAATGAGAGAAACACAAGATGAAGAGCACAGCAGACAACCCCAAGTATTTTTACATACAAACATTCTTGACTGGACAGGGGGTTTCTTCCACATGAAGTAGCAGTGAAACTGACTATGTTGAAAACCTGTTCCAAGGTGGATATATTTGAAGCCGAACCCAGTGGTCCTTTGCTAATGATTACGTGACGCTTTAGCTGTCAAAGGCTCAGAACGTGGACCCAAAATTCAAGCAGACAGATCTAAGTGATTTAGAAACAAGCTTTTATTTAAGTGAGAAATTTGCAGCTGCTCGTCAGCTGGGGCAGGCTAACTGGATTCTCTGTAGAGATGGAAACTCAGGTCAGTGACTTCAGGATTCAGAACGAATGATAATGAGCATGAGAGTTATCAACCTGGTAAAGTTCAGTCTAAGGCCAAGAAGAGGAGCGAAGTCTGGAGGGGTGATTACTCTATAGTTTGCGATGAAGCCGATTCCAGAGATCCAGGAAAGAAGTGGAGCAGCGACCAGCAGCAGCCAGAGCACACGGAGGAGCAGAAGGAGCCAGAGGGATAATCCAAGCCGGTGTCAGAAGACAGGTCCAAGGTTGATAACAGGCAGAATCCAGATAACAGTCAGGAAACAGATTGGGCACACAGAGCAAAACAGGGGAAACCAAAAACTCAGAAGAGTTCGGAACAGGTCATGATCTGGCAGTCAAACAAAACGGGGTACGCTAGAAACTAGTATTCTCACACTAGGCTCAAATAATCTGTCATCAATAGCTTGGAACAGGTAGCTTAAATGGAAGCAAGAACAGGTGGATCTGATTAGAGAAAATGAACACAGGGCATAGCAAAGCAACTGTAAGAAAAAGAGCCAAACTAAATACTGATTAATAGCTTCAAAATTAATTTAGGATGCAGAATATTTATATCAATTTAATGCATGTATTGCAGGTAATATTGAAATTTTCACATTTACAAAAGAAATATTGACATATTGACACTTTTATTAAATACACTTTTTTGAAGTATTGAAAATTTGACACTTTTGGTATTCCATTCATGCTCCAGATGCAATTGATCCATATTAAAGACTTTCTGTTTAAATATGAGAACACAATATTATGGTCAAAATACTTTAGCATTTGAGCTTTGACAAATTGATTGACTATTTATTCACTTCCACCGCTGCACCTGCCCGATTCTGATGTTGGAGAGATGGACACGCCTGTTAGTCACGTCAGTTTAGTGCGCAGCCTGATAACAATTATTATCGGAAGCATCCTAGATACTACTATATATACGAAAGAAAAACAACACACCCCTGACAGAAACAGCATAGCTTGTAGTTCCATCAGACCACAAACAAACCATGATGACAGTCTGCACAGAAAGCGGGCTGTCTGCAGCTGAGAGAAATCCAAGGTTAAACTGAACTTGCAGCTTGAGGCTTGATCCTCTGTAAAATTAATGGAGCCACTGCCTGACCCATGTCGAGGGGAAGATTTGGGTAATTTTTTTCCTTTGTTCATCTGCATCACAGCAGGTCCCTGGGTGTTTTATTGGAGCAGCTTGATAAACTTTAAAGAACATGCCTCAGCAGCCAAATCATTTGGTAGGAATGGAAGATGGGCATATTTCCCCAATAATGCAATGGAAAGCCAGAAGAAAACTATTATAGGAAAAGTATTTATTTTCAAAATTTTTGTGTATTTTTTTTAATCTTATTTCCTGGCCATAAGTTCAAGAGGGTTGACAGATATATACCCACTTTCTCTTTGTTTTCTTTCACCTATCTGGGAATGGGTTGTAGCTGCAGCTGTCTCAACAGACTCCTAGACTTCCCTTTCCCGAGACACATACTCCAACTTTGCTGGGGGAAATCCAGGTCAGCCAAGAGACATTGTCTCTCTAGCATGTCCTGGTTCGGCCTCACAGGGATGCGCCTGTAACACCTCATGCTGACTGTCCAATCCACCTCAACTGTCTCCTCTCGATTTAAGAGGTGTCTTTACTCCAGACCTTTCCGGATGACAGAGCTTCTCACCCTATCTCTAAGGGAGTGCCCAGCTACCCTGTGGAAATAAAAAACATTTCAGCCATTGCTCCATTCTCTCCTTGCTTGTAAACAGAACCCTAAGATGCTCAAACTCTTCAATTTGAAGCAGGAACTCTCCTCAAACATTAGGCAGCAAGCCACCTTTTTCCATTCAAGCACCGTGGTCTCTGACTTGGAGGGACTGACCTGAATTCTGTCTGCTTTGCACTCAGCTGTGAAACACCCCACTGCATCTTAGCAGGAAGGAGCCAGCAGAATCAGGTCATGCGCAAAAAGTTGGGACAAAACCTCCTGGTTCCCGTACCAAACCCCCTCATGCCCTTAGCCGTGCCTAGTAATTTTGTTCATAAAGAGTGTAAACAAGAATCCTGCTGAAGTCCAAAATGTACTGACAGGTCAGACTTCATATCAAAGCCCTGCTTCTTAAACAACGACAGGATGGCTCGGTTCTATGTCTTCTTCTGGTTCACAAAACACATTGACTGCTTGGACATGGCCCCTCTAGCACATTCTAAAGCAAGGGGCTCAAACTTAAGTCGTCCAGGGCCGATGCCCTGCAGCTTTTAGACACAGCCAAATCAAATGTTCAAACCTCACTAGAAGCAGTCAATGAGTTCATACTGGAGTCAAGTGTTGAATATGCACATCTACAAGGTGCAGGGCACGGCCTTCAGGGATTTAAGGTACCCCTTCTGTAGAGGTTATAGAACTGATGCAGTGTTTCATGGCTAGGACGAAAACCACATCGCTTCACCTAAAGCCAAGGTTAGACAATCAATTCTCCTCTTCAGCACCTTGGAGGAGGCCAGTCCACCCTGGTGCTCATGGCCAAGTGCACCATCAGTGGACATCTTTATGCTTGAACATGGCATTCATTCTGAACAAAAGTCCAATAGTGAAACACACTTGGGTTCAGAGTTTGCAGTCTGTTACTACAGACAATAACATTCCAGCTGTCACTTTTGTTCACAATATATGCATTTTATTCCTCTGGCAGAATGATAGTCCCAGAGATGGGCACCATCCAGCAACCCCTAGGGAGGCTATTCTATACCACTATTCAGCTTATAGACCGAGAAAACAGTCAGAGATCTCCCTTGTACCAAAAACTGAAGGGATGCAACCCTCTCATCCTCTGGGGTGAACTCAAACATGAGACCGCTAAGCAGGGGGAAGATAAGCAGACTCACCCCAGCCCTCCATCTCTACCTGCAGGCCACTCAAAAGTAGAAAAAAGTCCAGCCTATCTCAGAGAGCTAGGATCCAGAGCTCAGGTTATACGTAGAGGTGAGCTTTTTCTAGCCAATATCTGCACCTGCCTCACCAGTTTGGGGTCCCCCATTAACCAACCCCTCCCCAACCCACCCACACCGCCAAACAAAATGACATTCCATGTCCCCAGAACCAGTTTTAAGTGTCAGTAGATTGGGTTGCCTCCACCTCTTACTGCTACCCAAGCCTCTTTGCACATCTACATCACATATAATGCCATCTTAATTTTTTCTACATTTATTTTGTGAATATTTAAGTTAAACATCAAGGATTGGCAGATAAATACCCAAACCAAACAAACAGAACGATACCACTGATGATCATAGATGCAGTGTGGTGTAATAAAAAAAACACTAACAATCTGCAAGAGCAACAATGAAGGAGGTAAGTATAAAGATATAGATGGCCAAACATACTCTGGTTTGGAAATGTCAAAATGTGTAGCACCTCTGTCTACAATGATACCTCTTTTTATGTTTCTTCTCACTAATGTGTATTATTATCACTTCTGAAACCACAACCATGTTTGTTATAGACTTAAGCTTTCTTTTTGAACTGAGAAGCTACCTCAGAACCTTGTATTAGGATATAGTGGGAATTGTAATGCCAACTGAATGGAATGTGCTAAAGGCATGTGGGCAGTGACACTCCACATTACAAATAGGCATCTTGTATAGAAAATACATTTTCCTTTTAGACATTTCCTTGGGTCTTTGATGTTCTTCGGACTCAATTTTAAACCCCTTATGATAATGATAATTTTTCACTTCGAGTTAACTTCTCAGTATCAGCATCAAAGTGCACAGTGTTATCCATATAAATGGTAGAACTTAATTTAGTTAATTTCATGTTTTTAAAAATTATCTGTTTTGAGACTTCTTAGCTGCTTATCAATTGTCAAGCCTATCAAGATGAAATCTAGGTCATTTTGGTATTGTTTTCTCTTCTTCTTAGTTACTAATCCGGTAGAGCAGCAATCAACCCATCTTTT